AAGTTCTTACGTTTGCCATCTAATGTCCTTGTCTTGTTTATTCCTAGAAAAGTATTATGGACTCCTAGTTGATAAGCTAAAACTGTTTTTTTAAAAACTGAGACAAAAATGATCATGAATGACTTTGTCATTAATTAGTCCCTGTGCTTTTGTGTCACTAACATTTAGAGATAAATAATAGGGAAAAAACAGCTAATAAAATCAGCACATATAAGTAAACACTAATGAGCAAACAAGTGAATGATTTTAAAGGCACCATTTTCTTAAGATTAATATTAATGGCTTCCTTATATTTAAAAAAACAATCACATATTCAAGCCAGTTATCATTAATGTAGCCATTGCCTGTAAGCACAGTATAAGTAGTATCTTTCCAACTATTTAACTTAAAATACAGATACTTTTCTATCTCTCCTCAAGTCATTACTGCTGAAATAATTGCAAACTATTTCTTATTATCCGAAATACTTTTTAATTCTTTATAATTTTGTTTTGAGCTTTTGTTTTTATCTCATCTCAGACTATTCATACGTATTTCATAAAACTTCCCTCTCAAAAGATACTTTTCCATACCAAGTAAAAGGCAAAGTTTCAATTTAATTTCCACCTCTAAGTGAATAAACTCATGTGCATTTAGGATATGCTGATTCTTTATTTATGGTTTTTTATTCTACTAGAAAAGGGATTTAAACTATCTTCTATATTTTTGAGTAAGAGAGAAGAATGCAGGCAGCGTAAAAGGAGCAAATGAAAGCTTTTGCGGTTACTCCAACTTTGTGGAATATTGTACCATGATGTTGGATTTTGCTCTGAGCTTTTTTAAAGAAAAAATTATTCTGACACTTATTAAAATGGTAAGAAAGACTTTGTTCAGGACTACATGTGATAGGTGTCAAGACTATCACAATAGGGGAGAGAGATTTGGTCCAACTCTGAATACAAAAAAGACATCTGAGGATTATAGCCAAGGAACAGGTTGTGTGTTGAGGGTGTGGGTGGGGGGTCCGATAGATGGAAATTTACTAAAAGGTGACAATCAAGGTTAAGAATTCTTACTTTAACAAGATTCTTGCTGAAAGGCAAGCCACCGTGATCAGATATCAAGGCCGGGGAATGAGGAATCAAATGCCAAGAGTGAGAGAATGCCCTCTTAAGATGACTTAGCAGGATTATTACTAAAACTGGACTCTGCAAGGATGGACAGCGAAGCCTAAGGTCAAAGTCTAGATGAGAAGAGGGATCACAGGAACCTGATGAAAGTTTGGTTAAGGAGAGTCTGTCAGTTTTCTAGTGGCAAATGCAAGGAAAAGCATGTTGGCATACAGAATACACATTGTCCGACCTGGTAAAGAGCCCATCATTCCCTACATAGAATTGATTTCAGGTCATATTTATCATTTGGGTTTCAGAGTTTCATGAAAGTACTGCTGGGAGGCAGTCTGTAGATAAGCAGCATTTAAGAAGAGGAGGCGAGGGAATGATCTATAGGAATATCTGAGGACCTAGGAAGTACAGTCGTTCTAAGGCCTGCTGGGTATGCTGGAGGAAGGACAGAGAATCCAGCATGAGTGGAGTGAAGTGATCAGAAAATGAAGTGAGACTTCAGGGAAGAGGTATATCAATTCAGACCTTAGAGGCCATTGTGAGATACTCAGGCTTAACTCTGAGATGGGAAGGCCACTGGAGGGCTCTGAATGGTGAAATGGTCTGATTTAACATTTTATAGGGATCAGTCTGACTGTGTAATGAGAAGAGGTTATTGGAAGGCAAGACTGGAAGAAGGGAGACCAATTAGAAGGCTTTTCCAATAGCCCAGGAGAGGCACAATGGCAGCATATTCCAGAATAGGACCTGGGAAAACAGTGAGTGGTGGTTATATTCTGAATATGTTTTGAAGGGAGAGGTGATGGGTTTGCTGATGAATAAGCCTGATCTGCTAGAAGGATGATATCACTTTTTTTTTTCCAAAGTGGGGAAGATTGTAGCAAAAACAGGTTCTTTGAGAAAAGAATAGCAGTTTGGTTTTTGATAGTTTTAACACAAGATGCCTATTGGCTTTCCAAGTAGAGAGGTCAGATAGGACCTAAGGGATAGTATTTTGAGCCATTGGTTCTGAACACCTGGGAAATGAGTGTACATAGGTAGGTCCAATGATGAAGATCTGGAGTGATCACTTATTTTCTCTAGGTTGCCCTTCTTTGGTTCTATGGCCATTCAAGATTGGCTTACAAACCATACATGAGCGTATCATCCTATGTTCTTTTCTTTACTATGCAAATTGCATGACACTTCTTGAACAGTGTTATACTTTCCTGTTGACCGGTCATCCTCTCCATTGTACTATAAATTCCATGAGGGAAAGACCTATAATACACAAGTGATTCCTGAGTGAAATAATAAATGAAAACCTTTGCATTTAGGATAAAATCTAAGTACTTTTATCTCTACCTCAGCCACCTTGTGTCATGACACTCTTCCCTTTATTTACTATACCCCAGCCACTGTTGCTAATTCCTCAAAGGCATACCACATTCTCAACTCCCTCAAGAGTCACGGCTTTTTTCTACAACATTTGTTTCTTCATAGAATGCCTTTCTCCCCTCATTCTTGATCTGATAATGTATTATAATGCATTGGGTCCTGGTTTAAATGCTGAATCTTAGGAGAGATATTTCCCAAACCTTCATTCTAATTCATACTCATTTTCTCTCTTCTAATAGTCAAAATTTGTAACTTAATGGCATATATCACAGTTTGTAGATTTATACATATTTGGTTGAAAATTTGTTTATCACCTATTTTCTTAATAAGTTAATGAGAATCAAGGGCAATGTCTGTTTTGTTCTTTAATATGTACCAGGCTACAACACTATACCAGACACTTAATAGGCCCTTTATAAAACATTTAGAATAAATGCAAACAAAAAGGTCCATATATTTGTATTATTATCCATGAATGTACATAACACAATCAATGTACTTGTGGTTGCTTTCATTATCATAACACCTTTTGATTAAAATGTTTTAATCTGTTCTCTCTTACATTTGGGAAAATATGAGTTAATAGAGCAAGAATTAGTCTCCCGCTTGTCCAGCAGCACCTGGTTTTTATAACTATGTAAACATTTTCCCTTTTGTATAGAAAAAAATGTACTTTCCAGAACTGGATCACCCCTAGGAAATGTTCCATTTCCACTCCTCACTATTTAAGCATATGATGTAGAAGAGCATATCCAAAATGTATCTGCACTTCTGAGAAACCATAGCAGCATGAGCAACTACTTTTCAAATCTGTTTTATCAAAAACAGAAGCTTGAGAAAGTTTATTTAATAAATATTATAAATTACTTATGTGGAAAAATTATGCATTAGAAAGCCTTTATCATTTAAAGTTCTTTTATAACTCTTTGTTGAGATAACAAGTTTAATATAAACATCTCATAAAATTTTTTTGAAGATTTAAAAACTAATAATGCTTTGAATGTATTACTTTTAATAAACAATTTTTAATACTTTTTATTATTTAAAAATATAGATATTTTTATAAAATTAAATATGATACTGTTTCCAAATTTATTTAAAGAAGCTATAGTTATAGAAACCTAGAAAATGCTATGCATCACTTTCTCATAAGCTGTAAAAACTATTTATAAAATTAATTATTAAATTGTTATTTCAGTTATTTGAGCATACAGTAAGGTGAAACTGTTAACTAAATTAATTTAAATATATTTTATCTCCTCTCTGCAATTGCTGGTCTTTTCTTTGTATGGAAGTTTAATGTAATTAGAGTTAATTAATCATATCATTAGAATAAACATTTGGAAGCAGGAAGAAGGGACTAGACCCTTATTCCTCCAAGATTTTTCTCTCAAGGACCTCTCCATGGAGAAGTGACAACATGAAATTACCTTGCCCATTATTTTATACTGTTTTTTATAATAGCAGTTATTAAACTTCATTTTGAGAAACTATATAAAAGTCCTTAGATATACAAGAAAAAACAAAATTTTTCTAACCTTTGGAAATACTAATATAAGAATTAGCTGAAAATTAAAGTATTGCACTTTGCTATAGTTATTACAAAATGATTTTTGAAAACCTGTTTGGATTAATATATTCAATAAAGGATTAATCTATAAATTATTTTATAATAGTTAATGTTTTAAATTATTAGTATGCTCATATTAAAGCAGAGATTCATTTAAAAAATACCCCTTGACTAGTTTTCTGACACTGCAAATATGACCTACAGGTTTCCAAAAATATAAGAAAAGGAAAGAAAAGAAAAGGAAACTTTTCATAATACAGTCACTTTAAAAGGGGTATAAATTTGTGTATTCTCTTTAGCCCATATTAGGAAATATAAATAATAGAATGATAAATGTTTATCAATAAAATGTATATGTCTTCAAACAAACATTTATTGATTGATTAAAGTTGAATCTAGAGAAAGGAAATTTCAACATATATATTAGGAGAGCTAGCTAGATAAACCATACAAAAGAACATACATTCAAATGTTTTCTAGCAATAGAAATTGAGGGTGTTGAGTTTTTCAATTTCCTTTCAATTTCCCTTTCCAGTTTAAATTTCTAAAGGGTTAACAGAATTATCACTAATACTTCTCCTCAAAGAAACAATACTCAAGTTAGTGAACAAAAATTTGATTTCTCAACTGTTGATGAGGTTTTTTAAACCAAGATTTATCTTAATATTTATATTCATTACAGTATTGGCAGCATAATATCTGAAGAAATTTCTAGAACAGGTTGCTTAATACAATCTGGCAAATTGTACTACCAATTTACAGAGATATTGTAAAGATCAACCACAGATTTGTTTGCCAAAGTTTACCAGAAGGTTTGTACCTTGTAATAGATATAAATATGCCATGAATTTTGGGGTTTTGTTTATTTGAAATCTCTACTGTGTATTTATTTCCTTTGTATGTATTTAATTTATTATGAAAATATCTCTTCTTTAAAATTATTTTCTCAGGTGAATCTCTTGGCTTTTGGAGTTATCATATACAAAGTTTTTCGTCACACTGCAGGGTTGAAACCAGAAGTTAGTTGCTATGAGAACATAAGGTAATTGTTTCTTTAAGTCTACTTTTTTTAGTGATTAAAAGCTTTAGTAACTTAAAGTACAAATAATTTTGGAAAGGGCAGTTTTTAAAATGATTTTTCATCCTTTCATCCTCCATCTTTAAAGTACTTATTGTTAAATAGCATTTAATTTGTTTAATAAGCCTGTAATCACTACACATCAAATGGTAACCAAAACAATCCTTTTAAACATACTCTCACTCTCCTGTGAAAGAAAAGATGATGACCATTTTAAGCAAAAGCAGGCCTTAGTGATTTTCTTTCACAAAACATTTCTCAAAGCTTTATAACTGTGCTTCTTTCTTGTGTTTCCTAGTTTGCATGCTGCCATGAGTTTCCCTTCAAACCCCCTCTATTTAAACTGATTTATTGAAACCGTGAAAATAGTTTGTTCAGGAAAAACTGAAGTGTACTATAGGGAACATCAGACACAACTTAGGTTTGAGTTGCTTGGGAACACTGCTGTAGTTTCAATACCTTGCACAAGATTTATAGGTAGGATTTAGCAAGTGTTTGATCGATTATTTTTTTTTATTCTTCACCATTCATAGTTTCACGTAGTGTGCTGGCTTTAAGAAACTTAAAAATGATTCATTTTCTGAGGTACACTGCTAAAACATTGTCTGCCGTAAAGGATGCTTAGACTAAGAAAAAATGAGAAAATAATCGTGAGATGCCTCATTTTTAACAGTGTCCTCAAGTGAGCAGACTGAATATAATTTTACCAAAAGTCATAGGTAATAATCTGAAAATACACAAGAGTGAGTATGCACATGTATTATTTTTAAGATACAAGTATTCTGACATGAATTTATTTTGAGGTAATGGTATTGTAAAAGCTAAAAAATAAAAATAAAATTAAAAAATCTAGTTTTATATCTTACACTTTCTTCTCTACTAAACCTTAAAGGAAACAGAAGCTTCCTTTGATGTCATGCACATGTGTTGACCCGTCATGGTATACTTCTCAAAGTTTCTTAAAGAAAATATTTCCTAACAGATATATGTCTTACCTTCGGGAATTACTGCAACATTAGATTTGAAATCAAAGCATACACACTGCAGTACACCAGATAAAAATATTTCAAGATTAAGGAAATTCCTTGAAAAAGACTGTATTTTAATACCACTGCCTTGATTTTGAAAGCACATTCTGCCACAGTGCAGTAGCATACCCTAAAGGCTGGCCCATGTAACCGTCGCACATTTTGTCAGTTTCAAACTTGTTATTGGTCTTTGCAAAAGGTTTCCTGGTTATACCAAAAACTCATTTCCCACATAATTTGAGGAATTTGTGGACGTGTTGAGTATATGTGACTATCTTAACTGGAATTTTAAATATGTCCTAGGTCTTGTGCCAGAGGAGCCCTTGCTCTCTTGTTCCTTCTTGGCACCACCTGGATCTTTGGGGTTCTCCATGTTGTACAGGCATCAGTGGTGACAGCGTACCTCTTCACCATCAGCAACGCCTTCCAGGGCATGTTCATTTTCTTATTCCTGTGTGTTTTATCTAGAAAGGTAAGCAATTTGCTATTTTGGTCAACTCTATAGCATACTCATGTGCCATAGGTTACCAAAGTGATAAAAATTCTTATTCTCGGGCCGGCCGAGTGGCTCAGTTGGTTAAGAGCTCGCGCAAGAGTGCGAGTTCTGAGCAACAGCGGTTCGATGCCCAGCCCGAGGCTGAGTTGCCACTGAGCTGCCAACAGGTAGCAGGATGGCTCAGAAAAAAAAAAAAAAAAAAAAAGTTCTTATTCTCATAGATTCATGACTTGTGCCTTTATTGCCTATATGCAGTATATTTTAGTATTAATGAAGTCAGAACACCTAGCTACTTTTAGGAAAACATGCTTTTAAAAAACTTTCTATTAGGAATATAAATACAGCTTTATATTTACTTGAGCATATTCTTGCAGATAATCAGGAATCGTTAATAATTTAGAAAACCAATATAAAAATTTAACGTGATTTGAAAACAATTTGATGTGATTTTTGCAATTATGTTGAACTTCTCTCTCCTTTTTTCTTTTTTCTTTCTTTTAGATCCAAGAAGAATATTATAGATTGTTCAAAAATGTCCCTTGTTGTATTGGATGTTTAAGGTAAACAGAGGGAACTATGGATAATTAATTATTAGTACACAAAAATAAAAAAGCATAGCTGTGGATGGCCAATGTATAAAAATGACTCAAACAAATTATCCAATTATTACCAGATAATCAAATATTTTAAATCAGTTTTTCTGTTTACAGTGTAGGAACTGTATATAAGAGATATTATGTACTGTATAGTTATAGTATGCTTCCCTATATGACTTAGTTATGTCAAAAATAGTGTTGCAAATATTTGGAAAGTAATTGGTTTCTTGAGAGTGATATCACTATGCCCAAGGAAAGATTTTCTAATGCTAGAAATATATGAATGTCCTGAAGGAAACCACTGGCTTGATATTTTTTACTTATGTTGCCTTTGAAACTAGTCTCCTATCACCTTGGTAATGAGCTCTGTTACAGAAAGTGGAACATAAGAGAATGAAAGGGCAGAATATAAAACTGTAAAAAGGGAATGGCTATTATAACAATGGGATGTATTTTGAGTAAACTTGTTTTTTTGGTAAACTAGATGAAAAATTATAGAGATAAAATAAAGAATTGAATAAACACATATTACCATTTCATGAATTGTTCTAAACATAAATTTTTACTATAATAACTTGGACCTGTATTTCTACTATAATAAAATGGACCTCCATTTTATTTTCTAATATTCTAAAAACCACAAAAGAAAAAGAACATACATTTCTGTTCTGTTTTAGGTTAACATTAGAATAAGGTATATGCTATTTCTATACTTATTTCACAGTCTGTGATTTCAAGAGCTTAATCAGTGATACATAAATGCATCAAAATATAATATTGTTCATGCCTGTAAATGTTGTTCATGCCTGTAAATAAAGCTGAAATATTCTATTCTGTAACCTTTAAGTGCAGTGAAAAATATTGTATCTCATTAGACTAAGTATATTTGAGTTCTTTATGTTTTGAATTTTAGAAGTATTGTACTTCACATTACGGTATTCCCATTTAACTTGCTAGTTTGAAAAGGGCATTGTAAATATAAAAGTATTCATAAAGTGAATAGCTGTTTTTTTCTGTTCAGAAAAGTACACACTTAAAAGTGTTATTTATAACAAAGAAATCACTACGAACTACAGAAATTTTCATAGTGGATCTATTTTCTGACAGTTTCCCACTATCTATTAAAGCATATCTGCTTAAATGTATGGCTTCTATCTATCGTCAAATCTTCTCATTAAAATGTAGAAGCAGTGACAAGATTTCAAAAATATATCATTGTTCTGCACCTACCTGTAAAAGTACACTGATACACTAAACGTTGTGATTTTAAATTAATTTTTTCAGCTGTTGAAATGAAGTCTGTCAATTCTTGCTCTAACAAATAAAATGTTATCTAAATGAATCCTGCTACTGCTTTGCTGAGTCGTTTTCTCAAGAAAGATGAGCTACCTGCCAATACATCTTACACATTTTTAGAGGATTTGTAATAATAACTTTTCATTATATATTTTTTATCTTTATCTGGTAAGCCTATGACTTATTATCATTGTCGTTATAGGACAGTTATAGGAATGTGATATTGAAAAGCAATCTGTTCAATCAAGGTATACAAAATTAAGAGTGGTGGGTAGAATAATGACCCTCCAAAATGTCCACACTCTAACTTTCAGAAAATATGACTATGTTAATTTGCATGGGGAGGAGAATTAAGGTTGCTAATCAACTGACCTTGACTTGGGGACATTTTCCTGGATTAACTGGTAGGTCCAACCTAATCACAAGATTTCTTACCAGTGAAAGAGGGAGGCAGAAGAGGAAGCCTGTGAGAAGGATCCACATGAGACATATTCAACCAGACATTGCTGGCTTTGAAGATGGAAATAGTTCACAAGCCAAGGAATGTGGGCAGCGTCTATAAACTGAAAAAGGCAAGGAAGTGGATTTTTCCCCTAGAGCTTCTATTATAGAAGGAAGTCAGCCTGCCAATATCTTTATTTTAGCCCAGGAAGACCCAATTCCAACTTCTAACCTCAAAACTGCAAGATAATGTGTATATTGCGTTAAGGCACCAAGTTTGTTGATAATTTGTCACAAGTTTATTGAAAATTTTTTGATAATTTGTTACAACAATCATAGGGAACCAATACTATGGAAATATTTGTACAGTAAATTCTTAAGACATAAGCAACTATTCATATCATTAGGGAAAACCTTAACTCCAGCATCTTGTTTTCATCAACCCTCCCATAGATATCTCTGGATAAAACCTATATTTTTTAGCATGAGATTTCAGACCATCTCATATCAGCTTACCTCCTTGGTTTTCACTTTTGCCCTATGAAAGTTCTTCAGTCATACCAAACGGTTTATCTTTCCCCAAACTTACTATGGTTTACCAAATCCCCTATTTCTGGAATTTCCTCCTTGTTACCATCATTACTCTGAAATATCTACTCATCCCAAATATATCTTTTTCTATGAAGCCTTCCTTGATTGACATAAGGAATTGATTAATCTCTTCCACTTTTGTATTACCACTTCATCTAGTATTTATCAATTTCAACATTTATCACATTGTATTACAATTATTAGCCTGTGCTCACGACATTCATTCTACCAAGGTTTGTTCCTTAAAGGCAGATACCTTCTCTTGTTTGCTTCCTGAGTCAATGTTACTGCCTTCTGCTGTCTTGTGACCACATAATTGATGTGACAAGAGGGTCTGGACCCTCTGAACAGTCTGGCTTTTACACTTTTGCTTTCGGTGTTTCATATTGGACATCCTTTGGGTGAACCAGCTTTCTCTGGTAAAACCCTCCATGCTTGTCTCTAACTCCCAGGAAGTTAGGTGGGAAGAGAAGGCTCAACAATCTCAAATTGATGAAGCAGAGTGGGCAGAGGAATTAGACTACCAATATAACCTTCAGTTCATACTATGGTTTCAACTCAATTTTTCTAGGAAATAACTTTTTTGGGTGTTTGTAAGGAGCTTGCCAAACAACTAATAAAGTAGTTTTTCGTTATCCATTTGGCTATTATTCCTCATGTACTATGTCTTCATTTGATAGTGAGTGGGGTAAATATTAGGATTTGATGCTCAATCTCCTCAACCACTAAAATATATCGCAAATTCATTAATAAATATTAATATACAAACTATTCTTCATAAACAAATAGGTATGAAATGAGGGTTATAGGATCTCAAGAGATTCAATCAAAGAAAAAATACATTAAGTTTGGCCTCAAATGATGAAATGAATGGACACCAAAGAAGTATAAAATAAATCCTCTGTGTGAAAACTTACTATTAACTAGAGACTCTCTAATAAAAAATAAAATATGGGTGTTTTTTTTTTACTGACTACAATGTGGTTAAAAAAAACATATTTACACACAATACAACAATTAGAAAAAGTATAAGAAAGTCTATAAGCAAATACTCCACAATCTTCATGCAAGGCATAACCAACAAACCATATATACTAATTTGATGATTACATCATTCCTTCAGTCCCATTTAATTCAATGATACCCGCTAAAATTCAATGATAACTCTGCATTTCTTCATTTTCTACATAGTCGATCTAACTTATTGTACCCATCTTCAATGCCTTACAAAATATGAGCCTTTTTTCTATGTATCAATAATATCCTTGGAGAGATCCAAGATGGTGGAGTAGATAAACACGGTGCCTGCTTCCTTCCATGAACACATTAAAATTACAACTAAATTATAGAACAACCAACCTGGAGAATGATCTGAAGTCTAGTTGAACACAAGTTTTATAACTAAGGATATAAAGAAGAAGTCACATCAAGACTGGTAGGAGGGCTGGAGACACAAAATGGGCTAACCCCAAACCTCCATGTGGCAGTTGAGAATCAGGAGGGATATGTCAGTTGTAGAGGTTCCCCCTGGAGGAGAAAGGGACCCCAGCCCCACACTAGTCTCCCCAGCTCCAAATACTGGTGTCGAGAAGGGGAGCCCTCACAACATCTGGCTGTGAAAAACAGTGAGGATTCTGACTGAACAGGTGGGATGGAAGGCTGAGGGAATCCCAGACATCCTTTTAAAGGGCCCACACAGGCCCAACTCCCCCAGTGCCAAAGGCATTTTCTTGGCAAGGAGCCAGCCCACCGAAATTGCACTCTTTTTTGAAAAACTTTCAGAGTCCATGGGCTCCAGGTGGGCAGCAACTGGCCTCAGTGTTCTCTGAGACTTTTGTTGAATAGGTCCAGGATCAGCACTGGCACCAAACAAGAATCTATATTAACCTGGTGACCACAACTCTCCCCACTCCAGTGACTCCCTGAAACCCTGGCTCACCCAACTTGTGTACCTCATGAGGCTTTATCAGTGGCTGAACCTTAAGGAAGTCAGCAGGTGGGTGCTGACCTCGGGTGACCTGGCTTTTTGTGGAGTTATGCCAGGCCTGGTACTGTTGGCTATAACCCTCAGCTCCCAGTATGGCATTTCCCACATGCCTCCAACTTTAGCACAGCGAGCAACCAACTGTGGATTGCTTTGTACCTCATACCAGGTAGTCCCTATCTGATTACAGGCAGTGCATGACCTTGGTCTGCACCAGAGCCCTTCCAAAAAGACCCAGAACTAACATATTTGGAGGTTGGCTTCAGATCATAGCAGAATACCACTGAATTAGCAACACAAATGGCATACCCAAAGGGTGGTCTAAATAGGCACCAGAACCCACTGGGGCAAATCCCACTCAGTGTGGTAAGCTCCTCACACACCAGTCTGTAAGCTGTGGACACGGCCAAACCCCACAGCCAGTCAGCTTGAGAATCAATCCCACCACTGATGTGCCAAGAGCAATCAAGGCTCAACTATAATAGGCGAGCACACACAACACACACAAAGGACACTCTTGGGGCTCCCATAACAAGTGACCAGGGAGACTGTGACAGGACCCCACAGAGCACCTACTACATAAGGCACCTGGCCAAGACTGGGAAACATAGCAGATCTACCTAATACATAGAAACAGAGAGGTGGTCAAAATGAGGAAACAAAGAAATGCATCCCAAATGAAAGAACAATAGAAAACTCTAGAAATGAACTAAACAAAATGGAGGCAAGCAACCATCCAGATATAGAGTTCAAAACAATGGTTATCAGGATGCTCAAGAAACTTAGTGAGACCTTAAACAAAGAGATAGCAAGCATAAAAAGGATATAAACACCATAAAAAAGAACCAGTCAGAACTGAAGAATACAATAACTAAAATGAAGAATGCTCTAGAAAGAATCACCAGCTGAGTAGATGAAGCAGAGGATCAAATCAGCAATTTGAAAGACAAGGCAGCAGTAAACACTCAATCAGAACAGAAAAAAAAAATCAAAAACAAAAACAAAGAAATGAGGATAGTTTAAGAGACCTCTGGGACAACATCAACACAACAACATTTGCATCATAAAAGTACCAGAAGGAGAAGAGAGAAAACAAGGAATTGAGAACCTATTTGAAGAAATAATGACTGAAAACTTTCCTAACCCGGCAAAAGAAATAGACATACAAGCCCAGGAAATGCAGAGAGTCCGAAACAAGATGAACCCAAACAGGCCTACACCAAGACACATTAGTGAAAATGGCAAAGGTTAAAGACAAAGAGAGAATCCTAAAAGCAGCAAGAGCAAGACAACCAGTAACTATAAAGGAGCCCCCATAAAATCGGCAGCTGTTTTCTCAACAGAAACTTTGCAGGCCATAAGGGACTGGCATAAATTATTCAATGTGATGAAAAGCCAGGACCTACAACCAAGATTACTCTACCCAGCAAGGGTATCATTTAAATTTGAAGGACAAAGAGCTTCCTAGACAAAAAAAGCTAAAGGAGTTCATCACCACCAAACCAATATTACATGGAATCTTAGAAGGACTTCTTTAAGACAGAAAAAAAAATTAAAATTATGAATAAAATGAAAATAGGCACATACCTATCAAAATTACTTTCAATGTAAATGGATTAAATACTCTACTCAAGACATAGGAGGGCAGAATGGATAAGAAAACAAAACCCTTACATATTCTGCCTACAAGAGACTCACTTCAGATTGAAAGACACACACAGATGGAAAGTAAAGGGCTCAAAAAAGATATTTCATAAAAATAGAAATGAAAAAAACAAAAAAAGTTGGCGTAGCAATACCAGACAAAATAGACATTAAAACAAAGGGTATGACAAGAGACAAAGAAGGACCCAGTAATCCCACTTCTGGGTATTTAGCTGAAGGAATCCAAAAGGCTACTTCAAGGGGACATGTGCATCCATATGACCATTACAGCATTGCTTACAATGGACAAGATCTGGAGACAGCCTGGATGTCTGTTGATGGATAAATGGATAAAAAAGATGTGAGATATATATATAGATATATATA